TGCTATATTGGCAATGCCGCACCTATGTTGATGACTATGAACTTCTATTCGCACTCTTCCTATACCATTTACTGTGACTTTCTTCTTGTTGTTTAGCAGTTTATATGGGGTATTTGTGCGAGTAGGGATTATCGAAATTTAGGATGAAATGCTGTCAAATTTTTTATACAACTTGAGGTGAATCTCTGTTAAATTTTAACAAAGACATCTTTCAAGGTAATATGCCCAACAACTGGCAAAATCTCTCAATCATTTTATAACGATTTCGTTTCAGTAAATGTGCCCAGTAACAACTGACAAAATTCGATTAATTTACAAAAACATCATTCGAGACAATGTTCCATTTTAATGCATAAACATGTTCCATACACCCATGTCTACATTCCAACATTACAGCATTCAAATTACATGAAACAATTACTCAACTTCTAACTTCATACAGGAACATCTAATGTAGCATTTTTAAGTTGACATTCCTTTCATTGCCACTGGGTAATAGTACAGCAATAACCATAATACATATGCAAACCACGACCAGCATTAGCCACTTCCTTGCTGCTTTCAACTTCCTAATTTCACTTTTGAGCGCCTTGTTCTCTTCTTCAAGCTTACACATTTCAATTTTCATGAAATTATTTTCTTCCTCAACTTTCCTCAAATTCTTCAAAATTCTCGCCATCATATTTTTTGTCATCTGTTGCATAGGTGGATCATACCACAGAAAATAATTGCAGGCTTTTGGGGTCTACAATGACCATTAATTCCAGCTATTAGTTGTAGTAAATTATATAATACATCAAAATATACAAGTGATATGTCGTGATTAATTGTAAAAATTACCCCATAATTTATGCATCCATGAAATCTTCTGCCTGGATTCGTCACTGTCCATGAAGTTACAATTCTACATTCTTCACGGCAATGGCAAATTACTGCTTCATTCCCATTGTAGAATTCTACCCTCTCTCCCTTCACCCCTGTCGAATACCCACTTACTCGGCTATCCAGATTTGAGTGTTGGCTGCTACATAAACTTAAGGCGGAGTTGTCGAAATTTCTGCTTGATTGCATTTCACCTGCTTGTCGAAGTCTCTCCCTCAGTTTCTGCTTGTCGAAGTTTCTGCCCTAATTCCTATGAGCTCTGAAGAAGTCGATTTGCAGGGGTTTCTTTTGCTAATCGTGACAGAGCTGCCATTCTAGTCAAGGTGTTTAGACAATTATACCTGTCATTCCAATTATACCCCTGGTCCGCCGTGAAAATACATAAAATGTGGTGGCGCCACCCAAAAAGTCCTACATTGGACTCAATAAAATTGTTTGAGGATTAAATTGGTGAAAAAAACCGTGAAGGACTAAATTGGTTTAAGTGAAAAAGTTTAGGGACCAAATTGGCGATTTGCCCTTGTTAGTAATACGAATTACTGCATAAGAACTAGTCAAGCTGATTTTTTCTGGTAGATTGCGAAACTGAATTCCAAATAGCACTATAGTTGAAATTTAACAGCGGTAGATTGACTCTTGACTCCTGGTTGGTGGACTTTTTTCCATCAACAATTAAGCCAAAACAACAAAATATTTACACCTATGGTCTATGCCAGTTGCAGCACATCTGAGAGATCGCAAATATAGAATGCAGTCCTACTTTTTTCTTTTTGTCCTTTCGAGAAGTATTCTCTGGTGTTTTTTCAATAGTTTATTCTCATTAAAGACACACTTTATTTTTCTTTCCATCTTTTTTTTAAAGTTTTTATTTCGTGTCATGATTCAGAAAGGTAAGATTAGCTTTTTTGAAATGGATTACATGGGTGGGACGGAGGGAGCAATTTTTTTTTTAAAATGGATTAGGTGGGTGGGTGGGACGAAGACATCAGACATATTGTCTTTTGTTCTGGTCCGTTGGGTAATCCTTTCCCTAATACTATATTGTCGTTAATAATAATATACTGTCTTGATGCACGATATCTCTTTGTTTTTTCGCTTTTTTCTTTTCTTTGTTTTTTGGTTCAATGTCATGACTCATGATGTTTGGCTGCTTGTCTGCAATTCTGACATGGATCATTGAATAAACCCAAAATAACTAAACTTATGCCTTCATCTCAGGATGGAGTAGTTAGGAGGTCAACATTGGTGAGCGGGTGCCTAATCCTCTGGATTATTTTTACCCATAAAGTAACAGAACTAAACTTGTCTGTGATGATTGGCTGAATTTGGGGACATTGTCTGAATCATTAGTACTACTCTTAATTTTAATCTTCTGCTTTTCATGAATGAATAGACATTGCTGTTTCTTTCTTGGCTTTCTGGAGGCGAGGTTTCTTTAGTTCTGCTACTCTTACCACCTGCATAGAATTTTGAGAGTGAAAGGAAGATCTCTGTTAAGAAATACAGAGATGGCAAGCACATTACGTGAGGTTTCTATAGTAGTAGGTGATCTGGAGGTGCTCCAGAAGAACATCCAAACTGGATTTTCTCATCGCTTGTGTGAGGAAGTTAGGACCCTCAAGCTGAACTTGCAATTTCTGAAAACTTTTCTTATGTTAGCCTACAGAATTAAGTTGGCAAACATGGATATCAGTTTGGAATTTAATGATGTAAAGGAGGTGAGCCTTCAAAACTTTGTGTCTCGCATTGAGGATACCCTGAAGAAACATGGGAAAGACACTCGCTCAATTCGTCAAAGCTCACAAATATCGTTTGCCCATTTGAGAGGCCTGGAGAAGAGTTTCGCAACTGTGATCATTAGTTTGTGGGATGACATCAAGCCTTTTATGCAAACAATCATCGAAGTTTATAGTGGTTTGTTGGACTTCTGGTCATGGGACAGCAACTCTTGCATGAGTGATGACCAACTTGTGGGTTTCATAGACTCTATTTTACAGAATCTAGTTGATCTTCTCAGTGGTCAGTATTTCGAGTACAAGAAAGGTCAGAAAACTGCTTTCCATGCACAATTGGGTGAGAATAAGTCCCTCGAATGCAGTGAGAATGAGTCACTCGAAGGCAGTGAGGATTTTGAGTCTACAGAAGGTGACAACACTGCTTTGCAGGCACAAATTGAGGCCCTGAAACTTGAAGGTGGTGACAATGAGGGCCTCGAAGGAAGTGAAGATGATGAATGCAGTGAGGAACTAGAAATAGAGTCCACAGATGGTTACAACACTGCTTTGCACGCACAAATTGAGGCCCTCCATGACAAGCTAATATTCTTGAAAAATTTAACCCGCATTGCCAAGTCGCGAGGCGTTGAGCAAGGTATAATGGAAAATCTGTTGACTCACTGTCGAATTGCTGCTGTGTATGCAGCATTGTTCTCTTGCAGGTGTTTGTTTTACCAAGAAGATGAACAAGTGCGCAGTCCTCAGATGTGCTCATTGATTTCTGATCTAGTACAGAAGATTCAGCCTGTCAATCCCCTAGTCTGTGAGATCTATATCAAAGTCCTTAAACCTTCAAGATCCTCATCATCCTCACGTGGTAAGAAAATGGACAAGCGTATAATGCAAGACTTCAATGATTCTCTCATAAGTAGCATGTGGGACCTATTATGCAGTGGTACCAGCTTTCCAGTTGCTGTGAAAGATCAAATGCAAACGCTCTACGCGGGACTGCGATTCTTCAGAAGCATTCTTAAGGAGCGGCGTCCGGAGATTGATGTGCTAAATAAAAAAATTGAAGCTGTTCTTGCTCAGGCAGGAATTCTAATCTGCTCGCTCTTTGTGGACAAAGTGCAGGACACAGACTGTTGTGCTAAGTTAGCTGATACCAACAACAATATCAACCTTATCAAGGCTCAGATTAGCAGTTCAAGCTAGATATGAGGGCTTGATTCAGAGTTCGGTTCAACTCACACTGTGTGTTGAGTTCAGTGTAATTGTAAGCTAGCGTTTATTCCACATTTGTGAGCTACTTGTGAAAGCTGTAGCTGAGTTGCAATTTTATTTTGCGTGGTTGGTGGTAATGTTGTTAAATTATAAATGTTTGTTTTGTTTCCATTATTGTGGGTTATGACATTGTTAGTTGCAATCTCAATGGATCCTCAAAACTAAATAAAGACTTTAACTATAATTCAAGAAGTCCTAATCTTCTCATTAATTAAAAAAAAAAAATTGGTGGAGGGATGAATGAAGAAGTAGCATCTCTAGATTTAACCTTTTGGATTATCTTTTCTATATTGGTTTCCAACACTATATCCTGTTGAAGAGATAGTATATTGGTGCGGGATGCCGCCAATAACCAACGAATGAGAAGTGCTTTTCCTTGTGTGGATCCTATTTCAATGGGGACTTAATGAGTCGATCCGCCTACGGAACGTAAAACAAAAAAATAGGTTGATGGGGTCGGAGCATACTATGTGTAATGATTCTACCGTTCACAAAATGAAAAGAAAAGCCATTCCATTTCGACAAAAGACCAACAGAAATTGTATAATTTTTTATTTCTTCATTATTCTTTGTTGCTTGGAACTGACGAGTTGGTTCATCGAAATAAAATTATTCCTATAAGCTCACTCACAGAAATTCTTTAAAACAGAAAATTAAAGGCAAAAGGGGGATATTTTTCCAATCACAGATAAACCTTTAGGCTTGTTATCCAGGAACTTGTTCAGAAATACCGAAATGAAAGGAATCTATTTTTTTCTGATGTCATGACTTATAATGGTTGGTTGATTGTCAGCAAGTTTAAGATGGATTGGGTGGGTGGGATGAAGAAATCCTGTCTTTCTTTTGGCCTTTTGTGTAATCTTCTTCTGGAGTTGGCTTAGCACTAATACTGTATTCTTTTTAAATGGGATCCTATGCCCCAATGCCATGACTCATGGTCGGCTGGTTTTATCAATTTTAAAATGGTTTATTGAATAAAACCAAAATAAATAAACTAAACTAATCTCTTCCTCTCGGCCGGATAGAGTGATCACGAGGTCCATATTGGTGAACGGCTGGCTACAAACTTGTCGGTATCATGTATGTGGATGGTTGGCATAATTAGCGAACATGGTCTGAATCTTTAGTTTCTTTTATCTCCCTCTTCATCTTTCTTGAATAAATATGCATGTATTTTTCTGTTTTTGTATTGTCTTTTGCTTTCCGGAGGAGAGTTTTCTTTCTGCTACAGTATGCCGGATTTGAACTAAAAGTTGTAGCTGTTATTTTTCTGGCAGGTGTTGTATGACTGCGCAGTGATCAGAGGCTCTCCTAATTGTTGTGTTGTGTTGGTTGATCGCTCACACCAATAACAATATCAAGGCTCAGATCAGCAGTTCGAGCGCAATTGAGGTATCGCTTCATCATATCATAGATAGCCTGGAAGGACAAGATATTCGCACGACTTCCTGCCTTTCGTCATCAAAAGGTAAAATGGAAATAACCCCTGAAATTGTAGTTGGCTTTGATAATGAGGCAAAAGCATTAATTAATCGACTCATACGAGGATCCCAGTTGGAAATTATTCCCATCGTGGGAATGCCTGGACTTGGTAAGACGACTTTGGCTAAAAAAGTTTACAATACTCTTTCTAGTCAGCGCCAATTTCACATCCAACTTTGGTGTACTGTTTCTCAAGCATATAGCGTGAAAGATTTGTTACTTCAACTTTTGTGCTCTGATGGAGAACACTCTAGAAAAAATGAAGAGCTCAGAAATCTAGATGAAGAGGAATTGCTTGATAAGCTCCGTAAAAAGTTGTTGGGAAATAAATATCTCGTTGTTTTTGATGATGTCTGGGATGACAGGGTATGGAATGACTTGAGACTTTCATTCCAAGGTGCCACGAAAGGAAGTAAAATCCTCCTCACAAGTCGAAATTCTAATGTGGCTTCACAGATTGAATATGGCGGGGAACCTCACAATCTTCGCCTACTCACTGATACACTGAGTTGGGAGTTACTGCAGAAGAAGGTGTTTGGAGAAAAGGAATGTCCTGAAGGACTGGTTAAAATTGGGAAGCAAATTGCCAAAAATTGCAAGGGATTACCTTTTTCAGTTGTTATCATTTCTGGAATTCTTGCAACTAAAGAATATGAGCGTTGGGATGAAGTGGCTGTTTATGACACAGATGAGTGCATGAATATATTAGAGCTGAGTTACACGCATCTACCACCGTATTTGAAGCCGTGTCTTCTTTATTTTGGAGCATTTCGAGAAGACCAAGAAATTCAATCCAAGAAACTAATGCAGTTATGGATTGCCGAAGGTTTTGTGCAATGTACAGATGCAAAAAGATTGGAGCATTTAGCAGAAGAATACATGATGGACCTAATTGGCAGAAATTTAGTTATGGTGGCCAAACATAGATCCATAGGTGGAGTCAGAGCTTGCCACATTCATGATTTGTTACATAAGTATTGTATGGTCAAAGCCAAAGAAGAAAATTTTCTACAAGTGCTGCATGGGTATGATGAGCTTTCTACTTTCACTGAGCCCCCAAACCTCTCCAGATTGTCCGTTTGGTCTAAGGTTGAGCATTTTAAGGAGTCGAGGCTATTTTGTCCACAATTATCCACTCTGCTGTTTATTAATCTGATTAGAAATGACTCTGAGTCATTCTTGGCTGATGCCTCCTTTGTCTTCCAAATTTACAAAGGTCTTAGAGTCTTGGATATAGAGCAAATTGTTCTGCGGCACAAGGTTTTTCCAAGCGAGGTAGTATCGCTTGTTGAGCTCAGGTACTTGGCTATGCAAGGTGAGATGAGGGTCATCCCGCCCTCTGTAGCCAAACTCTCAAATTTAGAAACTTTTCGCGTGATATCTGATTACGGTATTGTTTCATTGCCAAATACCTTGTGGAGCATGACCAAGTTGAGGCATCTACATATTGAGGGCTATGATCTAGTATGGTCTTTGCCAAGAGAAAATCTTGAGAACAATTCTGGCTTGCTTAATTTGGACACATTTTCCACCTTAAGAGTTTCTTTGGACCAAAGAGTAGAAAACATACTGAAAAATATTCCACATGTGCGCCAGCTAAAAATCAAACTCTCCAAGGCAAAGAAATCTACGACTATAGGCTACTGCAACATGAGTGGACTAGAAAGTCTAGAATCACTCGAAGTGTGGGCAACGTCACTGCCACCGGATCGCGTTGAGTTCTCTTTCCCATCGACTTTAAAAAAGCTGGTCCTCATAGGATTGAACCTACCCTGGAGTAAAATTTCATTGATTGAGGAACTGCCCAATCTTGAGGTCCTTAAATTACTCTACCACTCCTTCAAGGGTGAAAGATGGGTCCTGACAGAAGGAGGGTTCCGTAAACTCAGGTTCTTGGATTTGGAAAATTTGGATGTTGTCGAGTGGACAGACACAGATCCTGATGATCATTTCCCCCGTCTTCAGAAGTTGCTGATGTCAGGACTTTCTAAATTGGAACTGATGCCATCTTGTTTAGCGCAGATTTCAGCTCTTGAATTGATTGAATTTCGAAGTTGTAAGGCCTCTGTTAAGGATTTGGTACAGAAAATTGAGGAGGAGCAAAAAGACTGTGGAAATGAAGATCTGAGGATCATCCCCTAGCCAGTGCACAGAATCTTATGGGGCAGCTTCCGCATCAGATGTTGTGAGGTATGTCCCCCTGTCAATGTTGAATTAGGCAGTAGTAGATCGTTCAAATCTTTTCCAAATAGTTATTGGAGCATACTGATAATAAGCATTTAAATTAGATGAGGTAACTCTCAGATAGACAAAGGTAAAAAATTGATCATGCAGTTAGAAAATTTGTTAACTGGAGGAATTTGTGTCAAGAAAAGTAGCTAATGCTTGTTTTATAACCAACATGCACTAAACATGGGATGGTTGCTGTAACATTTGTGATTCAACTCTTCAAATTTTGTGATGCATTGGATAAGATGGGAGAAAATGCCGCGTAATATGTTGCCTTGGCTGCTTTTGGAGAAAATAAGGATTGTCTTTTCCTCTGTAACTTTCTTTATATCAGGTAATGCCTCAAGCAAATTCATCTGGCTAATTGTATTGACCTAAGGATAATCTAGTAGGCCTCATGTAAACAGACATTTTGTGAACCATCAGCTTTTACAAAAGTGGAGATGAACCACATTTTGTTCTGCTGGTTGTAATTCTTAAATTTCTTCCCGTTGTGACCTTAATTCTTTATTTCTTTCTGTCAGAGCAGCATTACAGTGCTGAGCATTGGATTAGTGTTCTCAAAGTAAGTTCCCCAGATTCAAAGCTTTCTGCGGCTACATCAGCAATCGGTCAATTGTTGCCATGGTTTTTGGTGGAGTTGCTCATCTGTGTGGCTTTCAGCACTTGTTAGGTGGTCGATGGTGTTTGTCAGTCTAGGTGGAGTTGCTTGTTAGTGTAATCTCGGATGGGCGATTGGCGCGCCGAGAACCGCACTGGTGTCAAGATTTCGAGCTCGAGCACAAGCAAAGCAAGTAGTACTTATTTCCTCTTGACGAGGAAGAGTAATTCGGTTGAAGGATGCAAAAATTGTTCGGGTAACATTTGCTGCTCAAGTTAGTGATTTTTGTGTCTTTTCTTTTCTTCTGTTGCGTGAATTTGCCTAGCAGGTAGAGTTATGAACGTGACTGTGTGAATGGCATATTTGGAAGACCTGTACTTCATTGTCGACGTGAAATGTGTATGTTGTTTTTTTCTCTTTTTGGGTACCGGACTTCACATCGTGACGCTGGAAGCATGTTCATGATTGCTGAAATCAATGGCCTAGGTGTCGAATCAGACTTTGAAACATTTAGAAGCAAAATTATCTTTCCAAAAGTTTCCTCACGCAATCCAATGAACAACACTTCAACTCCATGGGAGAAGGCCTCAGGCCATGTATCCTCTTCAAAGACAGCACATGAATTAGAACCATGGTCGACATTACTCCTCCGTGACATGATCCTCCGAGATAAGACATGATCCTCCAACAAAGTTTATTGTCGCAACACATGGAACTTGAGGGAAATTTTTGTGAGGTAAACAGGGATGACAGAGAGTAGGGTAAAATCCAATATTCACGAGTAGTCAATCTGATGGTTAATTCGATTAGATGACTGATAGATAATTTATTAATATTTGATATTGATGAGAAATTATCAACAGATAATTCAATAGGATTTGGTAAAAGAATTCTAACAACCCACTACACGATGCACAACATATACATATACATACATATATAGGAATTAGTACCTCTATATATACTAGTAATAGTTCACGTGCTTTGCACGTGATTATAATGTTTTAAAATATATTATTTTTCAGATACTAAAATTTTTTATGAAATTTTGATCATCAACATCATAATATAGTATTGGTATATTATTTATTTTTTTAAACTAGTTACTTTTAAAAATTTTATTAAATGAAAAGAGACAAAAAACATTTCAATATAGTTGATATATCCCTTCAGATTGAATTTGAAATCATGAACCAAACACTTTTTGATTTATAGCTTGAACTCTAACATATCAAATATTGATAATATCATGTTTTACCAAAATTATTGTATGTTCATGACTCTATTGCATATAAACCACAATCATCACAATTTTTTATAAACGAAGAATATAATTAAGTTAGAAAAATAAACATAAATGTAATTTGAATTCTTTGTATTATGTTAATTCTATTTTTGTCAATAATGGAGTATAAGTGATCCATCACGTAAAATTTTTTTGGCTTATACATTCTAACAATTGAAATTTTATAGATAGAGATAGTTGGAGTTTTTCTGTTTTCCTTTTCTTTTATTCATGTTTTTAGCACAATCCAAAGCGAAGCAAGAGCAACAAGTCTACTTTTTGCATATGAACACAATATTTTTGGTTTTAATATTAGTTTTTTTTATGATCATGAAATTGGAATGAGAATTGTGGCTAATTAATAATTTTAATATTAATTTTTTGTATACTTCTGTGTTTTAGTTTTTAATTGCCAACTTTGAATCCATAACTGCTATCATTATTATCAATTATTGGAATGCATTAAATCTGTTTAATTACAACTGTCACCATAAATGAAATTTACTTAATTTTAAAGCTTTTCATTTCATAACCGCTTCCATTATTCACTAATATTGCAATACAATAAATATATGTAATCATTAGAAAAATAAGGGTATTTTGGATATCACCAAAAACAATTTGGATATCATTTTTATTTTATCATTCTTCATTTTATATTTACTCTTATTATAATTTTTATTTTATCATTGGAGATGGTTCTGACTTGATGGATGGATTTGGTTTGTTCAAACCAATACAAATGAAGTATTACTATATTATTGTCAATAACAATGTTTGTCTTCCCTTGGATATCAGTGATTTGGATGTTGTCTTTGGTATTATTTGAATTGTATTCTAACTTTTTAATTCATTTGCTATTTACTTTATGTCACTTTATAAATAGTTTTCAATCTTATTTTAGTTTTTCTTGTTTTGATCGGTTGCTATTAATGATAATAGTGGTTTGTATGGTGCTATCTTAGATTTCTTTTTTCTAGTTTAATACTGCTATTTCAGTTATAAAGGTGTCATCGTTTTTTGTATATTGAAATTTTATTGGGTGCAAATGAAAAATTCTTCATATTGGTAAAAGTGCATAATTGTAAAATTTACTCGTGATATTTGTGTGAAGATATACAGATGAATAAGGGTTTTTCTTGTCATTGTATGTTTCTCCATTTTCTAGAGAATATCTATTTTTTGAAATTGATTTTTTTTTAACAATCTCAACTAATGACTAATGAGAAATTTTTCATGCTTCAATTAAGAAATTTTGATACGTATAATAATAGGAGATGGAGTCCAAGGGTAGGTAAATAGTTTTTAATGAGGAATTTTTAATTATAATTACCAATACCAATAAAATGTAATCAATTGGAGTGTTTTATTTATTTTAATTAGTGCCACTTAAAATGCAATAATTCTAATTAAAAGACATGAGGGTAATTTAGGAATAATGAAAGCTAAGATAAAAAAGTGCTTACACTTGCACTCCCTAATACCAACATTCATACTTTTTATATAGTAATGATATATATATAGGAATTAATATCTCTATAAAACTTGCTCATTCTCTTTAGGAAGCCTATTAAATTTACTCTTCATAAAATGTTCACTTTCTCTATGGCTCTACTCAAGTTTGAAATTCAATATAGTGTGTGGATTTGACATGATGTGTATTGATTTTCGTTTGATAAAAATTAATTCTCTTTTTTTGAGTAGTTCATATTAATGAGTAGAGGATACCCAATAGATAATCCGAACCTGAAATAAAAGGGTTTGATAATGAGAATTAAAACCCATAAAATTACCTGATATAATTTGATTTGGTACGTAT